AGGCCACTGATATTTTCCACATAGCACATTATCTAATGCACAAGACATTTTCAGCTACTCATGTTTTTGAAAGCACACGAGGATCAGTCTTTTCCTAAATAAATCTGTATTATTTACCGTGTTTCCTGTTACAATGCAAAAACTGGGGAGTTAAATACCTTCGGTGTTATCAGCAGACTACACCAGCACTTTTCACTGGTGTTAAAAAAAATTGGTGTCATTTGGTGTTACTTTTAACACCTTCCAGTGCTTTGTAACACATATAGGTGTGCAAAGTAACATCAGCAGTGTTAAAGTAACACCCTATGGTGTGGTCATCTGATAACACCAAACAGTGTTGATTTCAAAACCACATTTTTGCGGTGTACCCTTAAACTGTACAATGATATTACGTAGGTGCTTATCGTTACCAAATTACGTGTGATTAATATTACATGGTTTGTAATTTTGCTAAGCAGCATTTACTGCTGATTACTTCTAAATATGACCCACCCAGAATGTCCTCGCTAACACATAGGTCATAGGTGCACTTTTAAAAAACCAACATTATCTATCCAAGAAACCCACGTCATCACCGGCAACCCCAGTGCGTTGCAGTTTGCCCGTAACTGACGTTGCTGGCTGATTGGTAAAGCAATATTTCTGCAAAGCAACTTAATGTTATTTTGGCTTAGTCTAGTGGTCTCCGTTTGCCCTCGGTAGACTATCCGGACCGCCACGATTTGCAGGCTCCCATTGGACGATCGCTGAAATTGCGCGTTAACTTCCGGTTTCATGGTTCCAAAGAAACGGCAATTAATGCATGTAACCGTATGCACAGTGCACGTGTAGAGTGGGCATGGTTTAAACTGAAGTAACGTCACACTTACGAACCGGATAGACCGATTATGCGTGGAGATGCAAGCGTTGACACTGCAAGCGTCCCCATGGATCTTTTGCGATCCTTTCAAATCGGAAAAATGGGATATGAATTAGTAAACCCGCTGAGCAGTAAAAGCACCTGATGCAAATGGATTAATCCCAAACATGTACCACTGTGTGTAGGCCNTACATTACCTCCTATGTAGCAATCGTTTCCTTCACTGAAGCTGGGAAAGTTCTCACACGCAAGACTCTGTGGCCAAGCGAATCCGAAATCATTCATGAGTTCTTCGCAACCGTCCCTTGCCTGTGCGCAAAGCTCTCTGCAGGGCAGCAGAGGGCGCTTTTCACCATCAGTACATCTGCAAGACGTGAATGTTATAATACAAGCTAATATTCATATCACAAGTGTTGATCTCGAAGCACCTGCCCCCCAAAAAACTAAGGCTATGTACTTTAATGAATATGCCTTTTCAGGATCTTTCCAAACGATCGAATTTATGGAACAAGAATGAATCTGTCAGAGATGTCGGGGTAAAATAAAATGGAAACGCAGGCTCCTCTCTCGTGAAAAAAGAAAATGCATACTGTGGAGTGTAGACGGCACACAGAAGTGTCTTCAGGAAGGGCGAACACTGCACTTTCACCAAGGGAAAGAATTGGTGGACTTCCAATCCTGCCTCGTCTTGAGTTTGATGGCCTAAGATGTTCGGCATAGATGTCTTGGTGTAGCCGATGTCGCGACACAACGGCAAAGTGATGTCTTCACATAGCGGAACATCTTCCACTGAATGGGTGTCATCGGTTACGTTGACAGATGCATCTAGAAAAGCAGTAATAAGCCACTGATATTTCCACATAGCACATTGTCTAATGCACAAGACTTTTTCAGTTACTAACGTTTTTGAAAGCACACGAGGATCAGTGTTATCCGGTGTTCTCAGCAGACTACACCAGCACTTTTCACTGGTGTTAAAAACTCTCCCCATGGATCTTTTGCGATCCTTTCAAATCGGGAAAAGTGGACATGAATTAGTAAACCCGCTGAGCAGTGAAAGCACCTGATGCAATAGATTAACTCTAAACACGTACGACTGTGTGTAGGCGTACATTACCTCCTAAGTAGCATTCATGTCCTTCACTGAAGCTGGGGAAATTCTCACACACCAGATGCTCTGGCCAAGCGAATCCAAAATTATTCATGAGTTCTTCGCATCCGTCCTTTGCCAGTCCACAAAGCTCTCTACAGGGCTGCAGAGGGCGGCTCGCACCATCGGTGCACCTGTAAGAAGCATTTGAAGCAAGATATGGGACGGAAAGAACCCCCCCATAGTCTAGAGTGTGTATAGGGATTGGACAGGTAAGGGGGGTACCCCTCCGTCCCATATCTTGCCTGGTATAGTAAGATGAGGATACTACAGTCACCGTGTTCACACCACAGGTATTGATTTTGTAACACTAGCTAAAAATTCACCAATATAATTCAATTTCCACACCCTTTTAAGGGCGTTTCCAACTGAATATCGAGTTTATAGAGCAAGAATGCATCTTTTGCGGGGTGGGGGGCAATGGAATGTACTAAAGGACCGCAGGCCCCTGATGGAAACAAAATGCATACTCTGGGGTGTATAAGGAACACAGGAACGTCTTAATGAAGGGCGAACACTGCACTTTCACCAAAGGATAGAATTGGTGAACTTCCATCCCTGCATCGTCCTGCTTCTGATGGTGGAGGAAGTTAGGCATGGAGGTCTTTGTGTAGCCGATGTCGGATTGGCAGAGTGGCACAGTGATGTTCTCACAATGCCCACCGTGATCGTCTGGAACGTCGTTAGGGGCGTCTGTGGAAGAAAGCACAACGCCGTCATGGTCCACTGGTCTCTCACTGTAGACTGACTTCGGGCTTCCAAAGGTGGCTACCATTTTCCAGGTTTCAAAGCAATATGCATGGAAGAGAATGGGGCGACATCTAAATGACTTGTGAATAGATATCAAGTAAGATTTTATTTCACTACCCATGGTATAAGAATTAATAAATTGACTCCACAAAACAACCCGGCCAGTATTGACACAAATCCCACTTTGACTTAGACTTGGAGTCTCCCAGTGAGATTTTATTAAGGTAATGGCGAGTAAGCACATCTAAAATGGCGACTACTGGCATCAAGCTCTCGATCTAAACTATGGTGTTCCATATGTGCCATCCAGCATCGCATTTTTCGACGGGCGTCGCATTTTTCGACCGGCGTCGCATTTTTCGACGGGCGTCACATTTTTCAACAGGCGTCGCATTTTTCGACCGGGCGTCGCATTTTCCAACGGGCGTCGCATTTGTCGACCGGCGTCGCATTTTTCAGCTAATTTAGCCGTTTCCATAATCATTAAAAATATGTACGCACACTTTTAGCATCCAAGTCAACAAGGTCAGGTCCGGCTGGACCAAGTTGGACCATTGATGATTAATGGCTTATTTACATTGAAAGGCGACGCCGGTTGAAAAATTCGACGCCGTCAAAAAATGCGACGCCGGTTGAAAAATGCGACGCCGGATGGCACATATGGAACACCATACTCAACACACTGCTGAAGTGCACCCACAATCGTAACCTTTCGTTAAGCCTTCGAGGCTGTGTGTGTGTAACTGTAAAGCGACTGGACCGGAGACTGGACCGTGGCGCCGCGCAACTCACCTGGTTTCCTATCCAGTCGCTTTGCAGTTACAGATACACACAGCCACGAAGGCCTTGACGAAAGGCTACCCCAATCGGCGAAAGAAAGAGGTGGTAACCAGCGGGTCCTTGCACGCATTCTACGTGTACGCAAAGACCATAGATGCTGCAATTAATTAGTTCCGCGTACTCGGCGTGCTCCGTGTCAAACGCGCATATACTTGCGCACCTCATGGCGCACCTATGCGGTGAAAACCAAAAACAAACAAACAAACAAACAAAAAATCACGCCCTCTTTTGTTCCGATCGGATCGAAAAGGCCTAATGATTCCTTTTTGAGTGATCCTGCTACAAGTGTTATTTGCTTACCGATTGACATTATTTTCGGAGGCTCTCATGGTAACATGCTGCAGAGTGACTACACACACAATTTTACCTTCAACTAATATGTCCAGAACAGGTTGGGTAAAATTTCCCTCACAAATACCATTCTTCAAGGCACCATGGCACACAAGATGGAAGCAAGCCTCTGTCTTTTTTTCATAATAATTATGGTATACATTATTTAAGTATACCACCGTCCAACTGACAGTGGGGTAAACCAGAAAATTATTCGGCAAAAGTAGGTATGAACTAAAATGTTAGTATGTTTCAAGACTGTGAAACCAATTGCCTCGGAAGATACATGTTGAAGTTGTCGGGAACTTACCCTCATACGCCGGTATGTTTGCGATTGTCGTTGTGCCCTCTCCGAAGTCATTCAAGGCTGTGATTTCAATGCTATAACTTCCTGGGTTCCAAAGGGGAAAGATCTCAATCGTGCGAACGGGTGGGCCTTGTTCGGGATCGACAAGATGAAAGATTTCTCTCTCGACTGCAGAGCTGGTGTCATTAGTGAAGCGGATGCGAATTGCCTGCGTGGTGGACGCTGGAGAGAGGTACCGGACGGAAGCCTTTTCCACGCTGTGCCGGCTGACGGCTGTGATCCAATTCGAAGGTTGGTTCGGTGGGAAGAGATCTGCATGGAAGTGATATCAAAGCCCAAACCAGAACATAATTATGAAAAGAAGATAATAAGGAGAATATCTCACACATGTTTCACTATTTCCATGCAGGTTATTCGACCGATCCTTTCCCAGCAGTTAAGCACAATAAAGAAGTCCTTCGTATTTCAAAGTAACGGAATTTGCTTGATTTCTTTGAACTACTCACCAGACAGGCATTGCCATTTCTTCATCAAAGGGAAATACTTGTTACATTCAAACTCTGGTGTCCTTTCCACACGAAGCTGGCGGGCGGTGGGCCGGCAGTCGCGCCAAATGGTCCGGCAGAGCTCGGCACACGGGCGCAGGTAGACCGACTCACTGTCCACTCCTTGGCGGATCAGGTTTAACCGAGGGAAGTGGGCGGTGCAGAGGTAACGACCTAGTTTGTTCGAGCATCCCGAGTCCATGAGATCTGATGAAAAAAAAAACACATTTCATCTGGGATATTCCATTATACTTCGACAGTCCCTAAAGTCTGCTCTCGGACGTAAGAAACACTCTCCTCCACGCAGTCACCGTTCCTCTTAATGAAAAAGTACCTTGGAAAAACCATGGTTATACTTTGTTTCAAATCCACGCTGTCGGTATCACTCACCATAAGGACCAGCATGGTACTAAATTATTACCACTGAAATAACCTAGGAGATTTACCATGGCTTGCAGCATGTTTACTATGCATTACAATAGTCTGGTACGTATCGCAGTATTAACATGGCACAGTGGTATACTACATCATGGTATTACTGTCAGACCGTGGTTAAATACCATGGTACAGTACATACCACAATATTACACATGGTTCGGTATGGTACTTTTCCACGGTGTTAATATGGTTAAAACAATCAGTACCATATGTTACTGTGCCACATGGTTTAATATCACAGCACAGTAAGATGGCATTATCGCGGTCCAGCAGCATGGTGCTATACTATAACACAGTCTCCCGCAATAACTCCCTAAGCCAATGCAAAGATGTACTACAGGTATGCTTGTTTCTTTCCATCTAGTGCCCTGCCCTGGCATTGTCTTTTCTCATCCTGTCTTTCAAATGCTTACCACAAATCCTAGTCCAAGTGCTATGTGAAAAAGCATCTGTCACATTGAACGCGACATATCTTTTTCTTTTTCTTTGGACGTGTTTTTGTATGTTTCTTTAGCCGATCGCAAATTAGCGACTTGAATTTCCCCAGAATGACCCGGGCCATACGTCATACCATATCGGAAGCTGGACATTAATTTCAACAGACCCAGGATAACCACGGCTTTCCACTGATGATGCCTTTGGCCTAAATGGCTAGTACCTTGCATGTGGCCAATGCTGTCATTAAGTTCCACTCCGAACGGACTCGGGGGCGCACCGTCGTAGGCCAATATTCCCTCATCTCGACACAGTGGAGGTACGACAGAGGGCGGTAGATAGGCCCGGCGACCGATGGCTCTACAACAAAAAGCTTGAAAACAGACAGCAAAATTTTTAAAAAGTAAGAAACGGCCTGGGAAAAAAATTCGACGCAACTCCTCGGCAATAGAGGAATCCCATGATTTTCAAATGGCCCCATTTAATGGCAGACAGCAGTCTGTTGATTTCCTATACCCAGCAAAAAATGAGACC